TCATTTAGTACTCACAGCAACCCTACAAACTAGGTCTATTATGTTTGTCTCTGTTTTATAACTAAGGAAACAGAGGCTCAAAGGGGTCGATTAAGTTGCCCAAGGTCACCTAGCCCGTTGGAGTAGAACCCAGATATTCTGAACTAGAGCCCATGTGCTTCGCCACTAGGATAGGCTACTCATCTTTCCCTGTTTGGGACCAGTTAAGAGAGAAGGAGGGAGAAGATTATGAGAGGAAGTTTTTAATGCATACATTTCATTTTATTATCCAAGGACTCTGGAGCAGCCTGATTAATTTCTGACCCTTGGAATTAGGGGCAAGCCCATGCTGCCTAGGTAGGTTGTGACTAAGTAGAAACTAGAATGCCAGGCTGTGCTTAGTGTAGGCAGCAGGCTGTCTTTCGTCATGTTGCAGGCACTGTTTGAGTGAGCTGCCCCTGCCTGGTAGGAAGGCAGAGGGAGGTGCCCAGTAAGAGCGTGTTGGTTTACGCTGAGTCAAATCACCACTTTAAGGTCAGGAAGTCCTTGACATCTGGAAATAGGGTGCTTATTCTTTCACTCTAACCAGGTCTGTGTCAGTCCAGAGGTTTCACATCTCAGAATACCAGGGCAGGATGGGTGGTGAGAGAGCCCATAGCTGCTTTATCGCACTGAGCTGCAAACCAGGCTCAAGGAGGCCAGGGTCACCCAGCAAGGTAGTCCCAAGCCCAAGAGAGTACAGTCTCCCTGGCCCGTTTTACTATTGTGTTTTCCTGTACCGTGGTGGGAAGGCTGAAGTTTCTGAATGTGCTAATTTATCTAGGAAAAGAAAACCGTTTTTAAAATCACCGGAGCAACACCCATGACAAAGCAAAAGCTGAGTCCAAGGGAACCTAGGTTTCTTTTCAACCACACCATCTTGGTTTGGCAGCCTAAGGCATTGTGCTCACAAGCCACAACTGCCTTTGTCTGGGGATTGTCCTTCATGATGTCAATTCTGTCTCATTGTACTGCCTACTTTCTCTCTTTATAAAAACCCCTTAGATATTTCTAAATATTATAAACAGGATCCTGAGAATCCTGTCGGCCAGTTTTATTTATGTGTTTACTTATTTTGAAAGTGTGTTCAACATTCTCATGACAAGTAATGCGACAAGCGTGCTTGTTCCATTCTCAATCGTGCAGCCTTTTTTTTCCCCCTTGTTTCATTCTCCCACTGTATCTCTCCATAATCCATGCTCACCTAGCACCCTCAGCCTAAACCAGTTGAGGGTCCACCTCAAGGACACGAGGTTGCTAGCCCTAGAAATCCCTTGTTATGGGATTGTAGAAGGCTTATCAGCACCCTTTTAGGTCTGAGTTTCTTGTAATAATTTTATTTTATTGCAGTGGATCTCAAAAAGTTTACAGAAGACACACATTATTTGGGTGTCTTCTGAGAAAAATGCACACTCCTGACCCCCATTCCCAAGATTCTGATCTAACAGATCTATGTTTGGAGTCCAGAAATCTGCATTTGCCACAACTTCCCCAGAGGACTGTGAAGCAGGTGGTCTGAGGATCACAATTTGGGGACCCAGCGATCAAACTGCCTCCCCTCCTCACCCTTCCCACTCAAGAGCACAAAATGTAGGCATGTAAAAATGATCCCATACAGCTGCATGCATTCACAAAAATAATCACGTTGTCAAATAAATGGAACCCTAATTTACCTGTGTTATCAAACAAAGTGGTGTAAATGAAAACAATGTCCAAATGAAAAACATGACTAAAAGAGGAAGTCGATAATATAGTGCCTTGAGCAGTCAATAAGGCATTTAATTAAAAATGTGCTTTGTGACAACATGGCACCTGCACAGTTATACTACCCGATAGCATCACTGTCACCTAATCCTATGCCCTCTGCATACAGATGGAGAGTTAGCAGCATGGGAAGAAAGAGGGATTTTGCTCCAGTGGTAGATGCCTATAGTCCAGTGCTCCTTCCTCTGGCACCACCCTGCCTTGGGTTACGTCAGGTCCTGCTAAGGTCTGTATGAATCAATTTGCCTAATGTACATAAACCCTCCCACTTAGAACTCTGAACAGGGACCTGCCCAGCTGTAGAGAAGAGTATGATTCACATGCACACACACACATGCACACACACACCACACACACACACACACACACACACACACACATACACCTCCACAGATGCACACACCCAAATACACATACACAGAGACTTTTGCATTGATGCTTATACCCACATTTTCACATAGGTATGTACACGCATCTAGGTTCTTTTGTGGAGCCTAGTTCAACTGCTAACCAAAAGGTTGGCAGTTCAAGTCCACCAGCTGCTCCTTGGAAACCGTATGAGGCAGTTCTACTCCATCGTACAGGGTTGCTGTGAGTCGGATCAATCTGATGGCAACGGGTTTGGTTTTTTTAGTTTTTTTTAGGTTCTTTTGTGTATACTCTCATATGAATATGTGTATACATATAGGAGCAAGGCATACTCAGACCTAAACATTCTCCTTTAGATACATACACACTTAAGGATTCCTAAGCACACTCTTGTGTGCTCCAAATTAGCAAACATACCTCATCATGTAATCTCATAGTCATACTGCAACTAGGAGCACACGGTTCCATATGGTGAGCCCTCTTCCTATGTAAGAATATACACACTTGATTCAATTCATGCTTAGTGAGTTTTTATTATGTGCCAGGAACGGTTAGGGGCTGAAGATTAGAGGGCTGAACAAAAAGAGTTGATCTTTGCCTTTATTGAGTTTGTAGTAGGAGAGAAGTCTTTTTTAAAAATGCATGAAAAATTGCAACTGTGACAGATGCTATGAAGGAGATAAAGTATTTTGAGGGAATTTGACTGATTCTGAGAGGTCAGCAACAGCTCCCCCAAGGAAGTAAGCCTTCATCTGAGAGCTGAAGGATGACTAGATAATTTCCAGAAAAAGAGAAGAGAGAAGAACATGCCACTCAGCAAGAACAGCAAGTGCAAATGCCCTGTGGCAAAAAGAAACCCAGTACCTAAGGACAGAGTGAAGTCCAGTGTGGCTGGTGTGCAGAGAAGGTGGTGGGGAGTAATAATGAGCCTACAAGAGGCAGGCAGGGGCCACAACATAAAGGGCCTTTTAAGCCACAGTAAGGATTTGTTCTTTATCCTAAGAGCATTTAGAAGCCACTGATGTGTTTGTAGCAGAGATCATATGTGTATTTTGAGGGAATCTCTCTGAACTTATGCCTATTCATAACAAGAGCATTCTTACATAGACAAATGCAAGCATATGAGTTCATATGTGCACTGTGTGTTTTCTTATAAATGCATATTTACATGTAAGTATTCACTTACAAACTCTGCCTCTTGGAACAAATCCCTATGTATTTATGTGTAAAGTATGTATAAATCCGGTGGGTGTTGGGAGGCTGGCAAATACCCTACTCGCTGGGTACTATCAGGCCTAAGCCAGTCCTTGGGGCTGGGGATAAGGGAAAGGTGTATCAGACACGAGCCCTCTGTCCTTGGAGCTTCCTCTGGGTTGTGCTGCCTGGCCTCCTGCGTGCACCTTCAGCTAGAGAGGCTTTATTCCCCCTCCTGTTGGCTTAGAGCATCCAGTGACAAGGTGGGGTTTCTTCCAGAGCATGATCATTGACTATTCTTGGCCCAGGCAAGGAGGGGAGGATGGGCAGGTCGGGAAGCATAAAAATTGCCTTGTGCCCTCCCAGAGTTGTAAGCAGAGCCTCTGCCCAGCTCCAGGCCCGGAGTACACTTTGCATAAAGTTGGCAGTGCAGGGAAATAAACACAAATAAAGATGGGGAAACTAGAAGACTTCAGGTCCTGATGGGGACTGTGATGGGACTAGAAGTAGTTATTGTGTCCCGTAAACAACCACTGCATGAAATATGACACTAGAGGAAGAAACAGGAAAAACCCGGTAGGAAAACCTTTTCAAGGCAAGAGGTCTGTCTGTGTTCCTTATTGCTTTGGCACAGTAAGTACATGTACAAACGTATTTACACATTAACGAATTTTCCTGGACTGGGTGTAGCATCTCACAGCAGAGGAAGTATCAAGTAAGTTATCAGCCACAACACCCTGCTTATTTTCCCTCCAGTGAAATAGAATTACACGTGTGCACATTTTGTTTCTGTTTCCCAGCAAAGGCAGCAAGGGCCTTGGCCAGAGCCAGCCGACAGGCTCCAGAGAATTCAAAAGAAACATTCATACCCAATTACAGGCTCACCTGGAGCTTTCAGTCTATGGCCATGAAGATATTCGTAACTGATTTTTTCATGTTCTAAAGACCCTGTTGTTGTTGTTATTGTCTTCAAGTTGATTACAGCTCTTGGTACTCCATGTAATACAGAATAGAACTGCTCCATAGGGGCTTTTTGGCTGTAATCTTTACAGAAGCAGATCGTCAGGTCTTTCTTCCGTGGCACCACTGGATGGGTTCAAACCACCAGCAATTAGGTCAGCAGTTGAGCGCAAATTGTGCCACCCAGAGACTGAGATTTTATATTTTCAAATGTGGGCTTGGAAATTGTTTCCTTCCATAATTAAAAGGAATTATATAATGTACCCATTGCTTCCAGTCGATTCTGACTCATAGCGACCCTATAGGACAAAGTAAAACTGCCCCATAGGGCTTCCAAGGCTGTAATCTTTACAGAAGCAGACTGTCACACCTTTCTCCTGCAGAGTGGCTGGTGGTTTAGAACTGCCAACCTTCTGGTTAGCAGCCAAGTGCTTAACCGCTGTGACACCAGGGTTCCTTGGTGGCGCAATGGTTAAATGCGCTCGGCTGCTAACTGAGAGGTCAGTGGTTCGAACCCAACCTGCTCCTTGGGAGAAAAGACCTGGCCATCTGCTCTCGTAAAGATTTCAGCCTAGAAAACCCTATGGGGCAGTTCCACTCTGTCCTATAGGAGCATTATGAGTCAGGATGGATTCAAGGGCACACAACAACAATGACATATGATGTAATTTGAATTTATTTCCATTTTGCTTCAGGTTTTGTAGGGGACATCCTTCTTTTCTCCCAACGGGAGTTCTTACAGCTACCCTGCAGCAAGCTACCAGATCCCCCAAGCCTCTGAAGACCAGAACAGGTACTCGAGGAGACCCTGTGTGTAATAACAATCCCCCATACTGACCAGCATTTGGCAGGTTACAAAGGGCTTTTATAGCTGCCATCTTATCCCAACAACCCTGAGGTGAGCATGATTGTTCCCACTGCACAGATAAAAAGACTAAGGCAAATGACTTGCCCATGATCAGGGAGCTAACACATGGCAGCTCTGGAACTTGAACTCAGCTCTTCATACTCAGAAAACAACACAAGTTTTACTACGTCCTGCTACCCTCCTTGGAGCCCAGGTGGCGTCATGATTAAGTGTTTGGCTGCTAACCAAAAGATCAGCAGTTGGAATCCACCAGCCACTCCTTGGAAACCCTATGGGGCAGTTCTACTCTGTCCTATAGGGTCACTATGAGTCGGAGTCGACTCGAAGGCAATGGGTTTCATTTTGGTTTGGCTCTCCTCTTAGGACTTGGGGCTCTTCTCACTGTATTCCTTGTCTTTCTGCTATATTTTATCTTCTAAAGTCAAGGTTAATACTCTCCAGGACTAAAACCACATCTGCCACGCTGAAGACAAGTGATTGTCTGCCCCAGGACAGTCCCCAGGATGCTTTATATGTTGACAAGCCCCAAGCTTGAGTCAACTGATTTTGGGGTGGGCAGTGGGAAGTCTATCAACTGTGGCTTAGAGCAGAAGCTAGGAGCCTTTTGTGGACATCATGCCACCACCACAGATACTAACACCAAGCCAGAGCTATGGAATCGTATGTCCTTCTTCCCACACCTGACCTGACAGCTTGGGGCTCCTCTGAGGCTGTTCTCGTTCACTTTGCCTAATTCCTTCTGAATCCGGATGTTTCCATGAGAAGACCCAGTGTGATTAGCCCCAACCCTACACCCACTAGAGACAGTCCAGTCTGCTTTTTTTTTTTAAGGTTCAAATAATTTTTTATTTTTGTTTTTATTGTACTTTAGATGAAAGTTTACAGAAGAAACTAGCTTCTCATTAAACAATTAGTACACATATTGTTTTGAAACATTGGTTACCAACCCCATGACATGTCAACACTCTCCCCTTCTTGACCTTGGGTTCCCTATTACCATCTTCCCTGTCTCCTCCTGCCTTCTAGTCTTTGTCCCTGGGCTGATGTGCCCCTTTAGTCTCGTTGTGTTTTATGGGCCTGTCTAATCTTTGGCTGAGGGTGGACCTCAGGAGTTACTTCATTACTGAGCTATAAGAGTGTCCAGGGGCCATACTCTTGGGGTTTCTCCAGTTTCTGTCAGATCAGTAAGTCCGGTCTTTTTTGTTTGGTTGGTTTGGTTTTTTGTGTGTGAGTTAGAATTTTGTTCTACATTTTTCTCCAGCTCTGTCCGGGATCCTCTATTGTGATCCGTGTCAGAGCAGTCGATGGTGGTAGACGGGCACCATCTAGTTGTGCTGGACTCAGTCTGGTGGAGGCTGTGGTAGTTGCGGTCCACTAGTCCTTTGGACTAATCTTTCCCATGTGTCTTTGGTTTTCTTCATTTTCTCTTGTTCCACATGGGGTGAGACCAGTGGAGTATCTTAGATGGCCGCTCATGAGCTTTTAAGACCCTAGTCACTACTCACCAAAGTAGAATGTAGAACATTGAGCTAGATGTTCCCTGAGACCATGGTCCCCACAGCCCTCAGCCCAGTAATTCGGTCACTCAGGGAGTTAGGATGTGTCTCTGGAGCTTCCATGACTTTGCCTTGGACAAGTTGTGCTCCAGCCTGCTTTTAAGGGCCAAGTTTCACACCTGTGTAAAAATCACAGGCTCCAGGAAGTATTTTAACTTCTTGAGAAGGGCTTGTGTTTGGTTGAAATGTTTTAGTCATCACAATTGGTGTTCTTGTTTTGCCCATTCATCTTCCAGCAGACTCTCTTCTTCTCTGAGTGTCAGTTTATCAGGCTTACCTAGCTTTCCAAGCAATGCTCTGGTTCATTCATTCATTAAAAAATTGCATTACACATAGGGTAATATGTGTACTAACTGTTTAATGAGAAACTATTTTGTTCTGTAAACCTTCATTTAAAGTACAAAATAAAAAGAATTATTTATGTGAGATGAAATTGACCACAGCAACTCAAAAGTTTTGATGGGAAGCCTAGGGGGCAAGGAGTTGAAGATAATGGTGATGGAATAATTTGGAAAAGGATAGTGAGAATAGTAGCACAACTTCAAGAACATAATTGATGTCACTGAATTGTACATGTAGAAATTTTTGAAATGGTATGTCTTTGGCTATGTATATTTTCACCAGAAAAGAAAAAGTCCTCCAAGGTCGAGAAGGGAGAGTTTTGACATGTTGTGGGTTTGTTAACCAATGTCATAAAACAATATACTTACTGACTGTGTAATGAGAAACTATTTGTTCTGTAAACCTTCACCTAAAGTACAATAAAAAAAAAATTGTTGAACATCTGTATATGCCAGCACCTGTGCTAACTACCAGGGATACAGCAGTGACCAAGATAGACATGCTCCCTGCCTTTGAGTTTCTTTCAGCCTAATAGGAAAGGCAGACAGTGAAAAGGAAATTACAAAAGGTATTTGGATCTAGTTCACTGATACTAATACTCAAGGAAACTGAAATATACTTATGAGCAGCAGTGAAGGTTGGTAAATAGACTTCTGGATTTTGCCAGTAGATTCAGAAAGAGATCTGGTATCTGCCAATCTCGCACTGGCCTCTAATCATACATAAAAAATTATTGTTACCTCTCAAAATGTCTCAGGGAAAAGCAGCGTTGAAGGTGACTTCAGAGGTTACAAATTTCAGTCTTGGTCTACTTCTACAATGTTGTGTCCTGTTCTGAAGGCCACATTTTTCAAGGGAAGGGGGACATTTGGGGCCCCTCTAGTGTTACCAACCAAAATCAAACCAAACCTGTTGCCATCAAGTTGATTCCAACTCATAGCGACTCAGCTGGACAGAGTAGAACTGCCTCATAGGGTTTCCAAAGAGCAACTGGTGGATTTGAACTGCCGACCTTTTGGTTAGCAGCTGAAAGCTTAACCACTGCACCACCAGGGAGCAAATAAAAATATAGGACAGCTGGTTAAATTTGAATTTCTGATAAACCATGAATAATTTTTTAGTAAAAATATATCCCATGCAATATTTGGGACATACTTCTGTGAAAAATATTCGTTGTTTACCTCTGAAAATCAAATTTTACTGGTCATCCTGTATTTTAATATAGCAACCCTAGCAGAGAGTAAGAGCTAAGATAATGAGAAACCCCTACACTATGTCTCAAAAGGAGTAGTTTGGGGAGCCTGGTTTCTTAGCTTAGAGACAGTGATGGTAAGAATTTAGATTTGTGTAGGGAAGCATTTTCCAAACTGTGTTTCTAATAGTTTATATGGAAAAGAGTGAAAGATACTCCGGGAGGAAAAGGAAAAAAAGATGTTTTGAAGTCAAAAGTTTGCGAGGGTCAAAATTTGGGAACCATTGCATAAGATGTTTCCTTTTAGGAGCTCACAATCCCAAGTAGCATAGGAAAAGTTCTGAGAAATCCTGCCGGAAATGAACCTGGTTGACCTGATTTAACCTAGCATGCCCACATAACCCTTGTTTGCTATTTATGGGGTTTTGTCTGTTTGTTCTGGTATGTTTGCTTTACACAGGACACCTATTAACATTATGTAAAGTTAGCACTCTGCTCAGCACACATTGGGGAACACAGGTATAAAAAATGAAAGTCATCTTCAAATATCCAAAGTGCTGCTGGGTAGAGAGGAGGTCTACCAAGGTCTTTGTAATCCTAAGGGCACATCTGGAACCAAGACATGAACACATTAGGGGAAATTTTGGTCCAGCCTGAAGAGTAGAACTTTCCAACAATTAGGACAGTCTGAAACGAGACATTAAAGCAAAAATAGAATGCTGTCAGAGACACGAGAGGAAGTTTTTGCTCTGTGTTGGAAGTTCTCAGGGTCTGCCATGAAAGGCCTCTTCACACAAAACATGGAAGGGGCCTCCACCAGCAAACTTTCTTTAAAACTTTGTCTTATGTTCTATATCTTTTCTGAAGTCTAAGTCCATCCCTCCTGAGTCCACTTTTACTACAGTGTTGTTCACGTCTGTGGGCCAATCACATGTCTTTTAAATCCCTCACAGAGATTAGTCCTCAAAAGTTAATGATCTCTGTGCTCACCTTGGGCTCTTCATAGCCTACCCCAGCTGCCTTTGGTCTTGACTGTCAGTGACTTCACCCTCAGCCTCTGGGAGTGGGTTATAAACCTCAGATATCACTTAAAGCACAGAGAGAAGACTGGATCCAGAGAGACCCGGGCCTCATACTCCCCTACAACTGTAAGACCACCCTACATAGAGTCCATGTTACAGTACCTACCTCCATGAGTCTGAGGTGCATGGCATAATAGGTTCCAATAGAGTTTTCAGTCTCAACTGACAGTTGGGGGCTAGTCCCTGAGTCTGTGATCTGGAGAAAGTTGCTTAGCTTCTCTGAGCTTTATTTTCTTCTGATGAAAAAACGGGGATGCCCACACTGTAGTATTATGAAGATTAAAAGTACATAAAGGACCCAACAGAGTCCGTTCCATAGTGGACATTTAGTTAATTTTTATTTAATGGATGATGTTTGTGATTGTTATCATTATTGTAGCAAACTTCCAAAGAAATTAAAAGACTTCTTTAGAAATTCACTAATCATTGTGCCAAGATTCCAAGCCTCCACCAATGAAATAAACTGGAAATTGGAAATTGTCTAGATCTCTAAAACCTTCCTTTTGGGAATACAGTACTTGAAAACAAAAACCAGTACTTGAGTAGTCAAGAACACAGCTTTCCTTCCTGTAGTCTAGAAAGAGGACTGGACTTGAGGGCAGGTTGCCTGGGTTCTTGGTTTAACTAACTCTGCAACCTTGTCCTTTCTGGTCTCCAGTCCTCATCTAAAAAATAAAAGGATTGGGCTAATGTTGTTTCCAGCTTTGATGAGTTGTGCTTTTGAATTGGGGCCGTGAATGCAGATACTTAATGGTTTTCACTGGACTGCTAACCTGAAAGTTGGCTTTTCGAATGCACCAAGCAGCTCCCTGTAAGAAAGGCCTTCCAAAAAGATTGTTGTTGTGTATTGTTGAGTCGAATTCGACTCCTAGCAACCCTATGTATAAAGATTACAGCCAAGAAAATCCTATGGAGCAGTTTTACTCTGTAACACATGGGGTTGCCGTGAGTCAGAATAGACTCAATGGCAACAAGCTTGGTTTTTATTGGTCCAGGGTGCTTAATGAAAGAAAGGCCTTGCCAAACCTAGAACGATGCATGTGTGTGCACACAAATGTGAGTGTGTGTGGGTATGTGTGTGTGTGTGTGCGTACACATGGCAACACAAAGCACGCACAATGTGCTTTGAAATCACTTTGCCCCCCGTTCTTGTGTCTGTTTGTAAGTTCAGCAAGAGTTAAACTCAGAATGAGTTGTAAAATCAGCACTAACCTCAGAATTGGGAGAAGCAGGTTCGAGTCCCATTCCTTGCTCAGCTGGCAAAGCATGTTGGTATCTCCAGGGTGTGGCACTCACTTCCCTCTTGCCTCTGCCTTTCCATCTTTCACATGAGGAGTTTGGTTACAGGATCTCAATGCCAATCTCTGTGTCTCTTGGGAAAGTGTCTCTGGTCTATTTTCGCCTGAATTTGCGTGCACTCCATACAGATTATCATCTGGCTGACTCAAGTTTTGCTTATTTCTTTTGTTTGATCTGCTCTGTTTTCATAACACAAGCTCTAAAGCCAATTTTAGTCCTTCTTGGATTATGGGAGTGTCAAAATTAAGGTACTGGAGCATTTGTCACTGTTTCTGCAGAAGATATTTGCCTCTTCCTCTCCCCGCCCTGCCCCACTCTGGCGCTCCTTTCCACTCTGGCACAGGCAAAAAGCCCTCCCCGTCCCTAGATGACACACTAAGTGGAGTCTGGTTTTCGCATTAGCTGAGAGGAGGCCCTGGAGTCAGAAATCCTTGGCACATGAGTCACTGTGTCTCTTTGTGCCCCATTTCCCCCAACTATAAATAGGCGGAGTCTCCCACTTTCTCAGCTCTCCTGTCTGTGGGCCCCTCATGTATGTGGGAGGAGCCCTGGTGGCGCAGTGGTTAAAGCAATTGGCTGCTAACCAAAAGGTCGGCGGTTCGAACCCAACAGCCGCTCCTCGGGAGAAAGATGTGGCAGCCTGCTTCCGTAAAGATTTACAGCCTTGGAAACACTGTCTGGCAGTTCTACTCTCTCCTATAGGGTCGCTATGAGTCAGCATCTGCTCAAGGGCAGTGGGTTTGGTTTAGTTTTAGTTCATGGAGCTGGTTTTGTGCAGATGGAGTATTTCTTTCCTCACTGGCAAATCTCTGCTTCTGCAGGTGGGCTGTCTGGAATATCATGGCCCAGGGGTTCTCTGATAAAAGAGTCAGTCTCTCTGTCTTCTTGCTTCCAGTCTCAGCTTCCTCCAGAACCCCTTTATTACTATCAGAGGGAGCATTCTAAAACCCAGAAGTCACCCTTTACTAAACAGCCTTCATTGCTCCCTATTATCTTCAGGATGAAGTCCTCAGCAGGTGAGTTTGCAAGGAAGCAGAGTTAAAATTCACGCTGAGAGCAAATAACACACATAAATATATGTTTGCATACAGCCAGCTGCATGGATATATCCCACCTTCTATCTTTTATTCACTCATTTATTCAGACCTTTAAAGTGTAAGGCAGTGTGCTGGATAGAAAGAGAGGAATAAAACTTGGCCCCTGTATTAAGAAGCTTACATGCCTTCAGAAGCGGTAAATAGGTGCACAAAAATAATAACTCTTTTTTTTTTGAAGAACTGGAAGTGTCCTTAGAAATCATTGACCTTGCCCACACACCTCATTTTATAGTTGTGGAAACTGAGGTCACAGGATGGTACAGACAACAAATTATAAAGAAAACACATCTCCTAATTGGTCTCCCTGATTCTACTCTGCTCCTCCGTCCAAGCATCCGTCTGCTCTGCAGCCAGTTATCTTTCTGAGGAACATGCAACCTCGTCACTCCCTTCGGAAAATCGTTCTGTGCCCCCACCCATATCTCACTGCACTTAGAATAGAAACAGACTTCTTCACAGACCTGCAGTGCTCGGTGTGGTCAGGTCTCTGCAACCTCAGCTCAGACCCCTGGGCTGGTGTTCCGCCACTCCCCATGCTTCAGCTCTCCTGGCCCCTCTGCTCCGTAACCACATAAGCTCTCAGCCTTGGTTCCCTCTGCCAGCAACGCTCTTCCTCTACATCTTCAGGCTTCTTCGTGTCATTCCATCTCAACTCAGACAGTACCTCCTCAGGGCCATCTTCCCTAACTGCATATCTGACACAGAGGCACAGCCCTGTTCACGCTTCCCCTTTGCCCTGCTTGGATCCTCTCACAGCATGCACTACCATCTACATCATCTCTCTTGTTTACCCGTTTTTCTTGTTTACTGTGGTGTCCACTCACTATGGGATAAGTTGCATGGGATTTGTTGTTATGCCCAGTGCCTACTCTATCCCACGGTTGGCTCATGGTTAGTACATGAGAAATATTTGCTGAATGACTGAACAAACAAATAAATGAATACAGATTGGAGGAAATTTGAAAATGCAGGATAGGCAAAACTAAGATATTAGAGCATTTGTAAATAAATTGGAGCCTAAAAATCACACATACTTCCCCCTACCAGAGAGCACTACTGATAACATTTTGGAGTATTTCTTTTATATATATATATATATATATATATATAGTTTATATACAATATAAAACATAACAAAAAACCCCATTGCTGTCGAGTCAATTCCAACTCATGCAACCCCACGTGTTTCAGAGTAGAGTTTTTAATGGTTGTAAGCTTATAAAGAACAAATAAATCTGTCTTGGAAGAAGTATAGCCAGAATGCTCCTTGGAAGCAAGGATGGCAAGACTTCATCTCATGTACTTTGAACATGTTATCAGGATGGACCAGTCCCTGGAGAAGGACATCATGCTTGGTAAAGTAGAGAGTCAGCGAAAAAGAGGACGACCCTCAATGAGATGGATTGACCCAGTGGCTGCAACACTGGGCTCAAACACAGCAAAGATTGTGAGGATTGCACAGGACTGGACAATGTTTTGTTCTGTTGTGCATAGGGTCGCTATGAGTTGGAATCGACTCGATGACACCTAACAACGTCAGTCTTATAAAAGTAGATCTCCAAGCCTTTCTTCCATGGTGCTGTTGAGCAATTCGAATTGCCAGCTGTTAGTAGCCAAGAGCAAACCATTTGCACCACTCAGGGACCTAGATGATGTATGATATATATACTTAATAAAATTGAGAATGTACTGAATTATGGTTTGCATCCTGCTTTTTTTTTTCATTTACCATTATATTATATTTCCACATGTGATAAAAGTCTTTTGAAATGCTGTTTTAAGAGCTGCATAATATTTCATACGAATGTATCAAAATTAATTTAAGCATTCTGCTATTGTTGGACTCTGATAATGTTTTTTTCTAATTGATCTATCCTCTGTCCAACCCATTCTAATAGGATTTGACTTTTAAGATATCTGTGCTGTTTGTATCTGTGAGTAGTTGGGTAAAAGACATGATTCTCTTTTCAGGAAGTATCAACAGACCCATGCTTAATTTTGTATGTTTTCTGTGGCCTCTGTCAGTGGGTATTGACTTAGTTGATCATCTAGTTATTAAGTTAACAATCTGTGGTTAGTAAAGAGCTGTGTTTTGAAAAAATTCTTGATTTTAAAATAAACCAATAAAAGTATTCATGAGCAAATGGGGAAATGGAGACAAGTCTGTGTTTCCTTCTAACGCAGACATTTAACCCAGGGGTGTTTTCCTGTTGACATTCATTAATACTCAGGGATGAAAGATTAAAGAGTTTCCAAATGCTCATCAACTCATAAAATCTTAGTGAGCTGAAAGGAATATTAGAGATAACTAACTCACTCAGTTTAAGAACAGGAAATGGAGACGTAGAGAGGGACACTGTCTCACTCGGGGTCGGATAGCAAATAATGGTGGCGCCACACGAAAACATAGCTCTTCTCACCTCTGGCCAGGGCAGTGTCCACACATATCAAATTAGATCCTATAGCATGATGACTTTCAGGCTAAAAGTGACCAAGTTAAAAGAGATTTGAATTATAATATTTTAAAGAAATCCATTAAGGAAACTTTGTGGTTGATTGTCAGATTAGTCAGCTCACTTGGTTGGAGTCCCCTAGATCCTGGTCTCCAAACATTTTTGAAGATGCACTTTTATCAGTAAAAATTTGTAAGCAAACCCTTAAGATGTGTGTATTTATTTTATCCAGTATGTGCATGTACCACTATAAACATATACACTGTATATTATAAAACATACATACAAAAACATTTTACAACAATGAGATTAAGACAATACAAATAGTTGTTTCATTATTTTCTTCCTTTATCCCACTAATCCATCTTTTGCATCCCCATTCTAGGTGCCATTACCCAAGATTATTATTTTTACAAGAAGGATTATGAATCAATAATAGACTATGATACCAATTTAGCGGGTTACAGGTACCATGTTTTAAATGAAATATAATACAACAGATAGAAAATAACAGAGTAATTGCAGGCAATAAAGGTAAATATTGTTCAGTGGAACTTTTTTCCTATTATTTGTGTTAATGAGTGTATGTCTGGTTTGGATGGGGAGGTGGTATGCTGGGTGGTTGTAAAATATTTATCCATACAAATCAGCAGCAGTTTGATGTTTGTGTGAACCATTCCCATACTACCGTCATAATCTTTAACCTCATCAGCCATCTTCAAAATGATTGGTTGTCACCAATGTGACTAACCTTTATTGATCTAAAGTGAAACAATAATCTGACTGCTCTGTATTCAAAAACCCTCAATGGCTCCCTACTGTCTGCAGGATGGAGTTCAGACTCCTTGATCTTTAGTCTGAGACCCTCCAGTATGTATCCTAACTTACTTTCTAGTCAAACCCTCTTCCGCTACGCTTCACAGACCCTGAACTTTAGCCAAACTGGCAGATATTTCCATAATTTGCTCTGAATCCCCATGACCACAATCTGTAGCAATATGAATGGCCATTACTATCCATTCTCCACATTTTCAAATCCATCCTGTTTCCCTCTCAGCTGCCCTCTGCAAAGTTGCCTTTTCTATGAGCTCCACAGGATATTCCTACCTCTTAACTCCATGCACTAAAGAAAATCATTGTTTTCTGTAACCTACAGCTGAATCAGCATGGCCTGATAAGGAACTAGGAGAGAGGCCTAGAAGCACACTCTTTGGCTCCCCAAGTCCTCTCCCAGACACTGCCCCCCCACCCCCCACCCCACACACACATCCATTTTCATGCTGAGATTCCTGATCCAGCTCTGGGCTACAAGGAAATAATAATCTATCAAGAATCGTAGACAATGCTGGAAGAGCTCTTGGAGGTCCAATTTATCCAACGCCTCCACTTCACTGCTGCTGACAATAACACTAGCAAGAATGTTTGTGCCAGGCTCTGTGCTAAAATCTTTACAGCCATTATCTCATTTAATCCACACAACACCCCAATGATATAGATAGCATTATTTTCATTATGCTGGTGATCTGAGGCATAGACAAGTTGAGTAACTTGTTGAGTTTCTATAGCCTTAGAGAAGTCAGAATTTAAGCAGTCTGGTAACACAGGTCACCACTAAACCACCACATGAGAATTGCTGCTCAAGTGACTAAAAAGGGAAATTGAGGAAAATCTAAGTCCACAATCGGGTCCCGTCTGTCAGTCAAGTTAGTTAACTCACTCTTCCTTCCTTCCTTTTTTTTTTGTCTACTTCTGTATCTCTTTCCCCCCTCTTCCTCCCTCTGTTCGTTCCTTCCCCCTTTTGGTATTAGTCTTTTGTGAACTAGATTTCAGAAATGATTTCACAGACGAGCTACTCCAATATCTTTATTTTTGAAGACAAGGAAACAGAGGTACAGACCGGGCAGGGGTGTCGTACCAGGTCACCCCACCACCAGATCGCAGCAGATCTGAAGTGAGAACCCACTTCCTTTTCCGCCTTATCCTTCGATGTTTCCACTGCCTCAGCTATGAGAAGCCCTGTAAACAGTCAGTGCTTATCAGTGTCTGCCCTTTGGCTCTCTTGCCTTGGGTGCTAAGAAGTCATTTTATTCCACGAAGAGCATTGCCAACTCACATTTACAGAGTAATGACTGTGACCAAAGAATTGTGATAGTGCTTGTATAAAACAATGCATACAACGAAACAGCCTTTCCTTATCCAACCTCCCCCATCCTGCACCATGCACCCTCACGGCACATGTACTTCTCCGTCCTCACTCTCACCACATTCACTTGTGTGATCTATTGTCTGAATACTTCCTAAGAGCAGAGGTCCCTTTTATTTCCTTTCTTTTTTCAGCACTCTACGGTGCTTGGCTGCTGACTGAAAAGTTGGTGGTTTGAACCCACCCAGCGGCTCCACAAGAGAAATACCTGGCAGTCTGCTTCCATAAAGGTTCCAGCCAAGAAAACCCTATGGGGAAGTTCTGCTCTGTCACATGAGGATGCTATGAGCCAGAGTCAATTCAATGGCACCCAACAACAACAATACCTATCTTAGTTACCTAGTGCTGCTGTAACAAAAAACACCAGAAGTGGGTGGCTTTAAAGAACAGGAATTTATTTTCTCACAGTTCTGGAGGCTAAAGGAACAAATCAGGGTCTTAGCTGTGTCAGTTCCTTCGGGGATCATCTCTGCTAGTTTCTGGTATCTGCTGGAAATCCTTGGTGTTCCTTTGCTTGTAAGCTGGTCCTTATATGACATCTGTCTTTCTCCTCTGTGTGTGTGTTTCCCCTCTGTATGTGTGTTTCTGTGTCTGTTCTGTTCTTTTATAAGACATCACTTAGAAGTGATTAGGCTTTGGACCCACCCTACTCTCGCATGTTCTTGTTACCATAACAGAAGAAAATCCCTATTTCCAAACAGGATCACATTTACAGGTACAGGGGTTAGGACTTCCACATATATTTTTGTGTATACAATTCAATCCATAACAATACCCTATTGCACATATCAGTCCCTGGCACATAATAGATGCTTAATAAATATTTGTGGAATGAAAGAATAAATAAAAACACAGTCTCTTGGCTCAAAGTCTAATGAAAGGGGTGTACACACCAAAATACAATGGTAACACAATGTAACAGCAGCTATAATGTAGGAAAGTACAAAGCCTTGTGGAAGACAGATAATGGTTAATAACCATAACCGCTACATCACTGAGCATCACCATGGGCCATGCATTTTTTCCAGGCACAGAATGTATCCTTGCACAGAATGGCAAGGATTAAATTTCAGCAAACATCTACCAGTGCCTGTCATGTCAATCACTGTGCTAGAACCTAGAGATCCAAAAATATATACGTTTAGAACTGTGGATCGATTGTCATCATTAACTAGGAAAATGAACATAAACACACACACACACACACAGACACACACACGTTTCTGGCATGCTGTCTCAGTTCATTTCTGCCATATTTATTTTATGGCTCCTGTAACAGTTATTCCCCAGTCTGTGTTAATCAGGAAAATGCATATTACTCTAAGTCTTTCAACATAGGAAATTTAATGTTGGTACTATTATTATTAATTCTTTGCAGATGAAAAAGCTGAGGAATAGCCAGTAAATCACTTGCCCTACGTCACACAGCTAGTAAATTACAAGCCCAGGACTTGAACCTACTTATTCTGGCTCCAAAGCCCACACTCTTAACCAGTACCACCTACTGCCTCTCAATGACAAGGCTTCTTATTGTTTTTAGTACAACAAGGCGGAGGGAATCTGAGACCACTTCAGAAAGGAGGGACAGTTAAGCTCAGCCATGAAGTGAGGTGAAGAGAGCAGAGAAGAAAATTACAAATAGAAAAAACAGGATAACAAAGGTCCAGGTTGGAAGGACCTGGGTTGAACAGGAGACATAGAGGACTGGTGAGTGAGGTGAGCTGAAAGGGTAAGCTAAGATCAGAATAAAAGAGCATCTAAGATAAGAAAGTTGAGCTTGATTCTCTAGACAGTGGCGAACTACTGGATATTTTAGTGAGAGTTCATTTAATCTTACCCCCCGCCCCATTTCACCAGTGACGTAGCAGATGCCTGGAGAGAAGTGACTTGCCCAAGACCACAAAGCAAACCAGTGGCAGAGTTGAGGACAGCACCCAAAGCCCCCAATCCCAGTCCAGGATTCTTTCCGCTATTAAACTCTACCTGCATAAGTATATGGAAACTGAAATACTTGAAAAGAATGCTTCTTTCCATGTTTTCTCCACTTTTCACACACTTCTTTTTTTTTTAAAGAATTGCTCTTTTCCCCAAGTTTCAACTAATTAATGTCTGCCTAGAAATCCAAACATATATAAGCTCATTCCTGGTGAAAAGGCTCTCACTGTTTAATAGAGAAATGCATACACACGCATGCACACACACACGCACACGTGCGCGCACACACACACGTGGCTTGTTGCCTCAGTTTCTGCCATGTTATGGCTCCTCATAATAGCTCTTCCCCCAGCCAGGTGATTCAGAGTGGGCTCAACCAGGAAAACAGAAACTACCCTGGGTCTTTCAACATAAAACATTTAATATATGGAATTGGACGCACTGGTGATGGAAGGAGCTGAGAAGCCAAAAGGGAATGGTGAGGTATCACGGAGATTAGTAACAACAGGAAGCTGCTACTGCCTCTGGGCCTGGAGAGACACAGAACAAGGTGGTGAGCTCAGAAGCCAGGGTCATTTGTCAAGAGCTGGAGCCACCAAAGAAATGAAGTCACTGCTGGAGATGCCACTATATGCAGAGAGAGAAGGGGAGAGACATTCTGGCTTCTCACTCCTTCTCCTCCAGCCTTCTGTCGTCTCCCGTTAGCCAAACCAGCTTTGAAACAACAGAATAAGGGAGGCTGGGCATGGTGAGCATGAGGAGAGCAGCAGGAAGGAAACGGGCAGCTGACTGGCACCTGGGTGATCTTGGAGAAATCACTTTCCCTCTCAGAGTCTTAGTTTCCTTGTTGGTAATTTGAGAAGAATAATACCTCTCAGGTTTTGTTGTGAGACTTACATGAAATAAAGAATGTGAAACCACTTTGTAAGCTTCATAAAGCACGTATACAAATGTAAGGGCCTTTTATTATTGGTTTTTATCCAATGTATTTTGGACTTCTGGTCCTGGAGAAAAATGCATGGTGGTGTTCAGGTGGCATCAGGAACTATCTAATGCCTCACTAATTACATATCTAGTGAAAGGAATTGTCTTCCAATTTCACTGCGCATTTCTTCATTCTCTCACTCTGGTCCATCAGGCTTTGAAAATCTCTGACTGATTTTAAATGACTTGGCACCTAACTGAAAGGATGTCAGAGCACACCCTGGGTTCTATTTTCGGCTCTGTCTGTGGTTTTGAGTCAAAAAGTAACAAGTAAATAGGATTTTAGAAAGTACTTTAAAATCACTTATTCTACCTTTTTCAATTTATAGTTGAGTTAACAGAGAACCAAAGAGGGGAAGGTATTACAAGA